CAAAAAGCATTAGGGAAACAAATGGGGCTAAAGGTCAATAGTCCCTGGACCTGATGGGTTGCATCCTCAGAAGTAGCTGCAGAGATAGTGGATGCCCCAGCAGTAATCTTCCAAGTATCCCTAGATTCAGGAAAAGCTCCAGATAACTGGAAAATGCGAATGTGACACCTTTATTCAAAAAGAAAGAGCCAAAAATGTCCACTTAGCTTAAAATCTGTCATTGGAAATATATTAGTCTACTTTAAACAATGTAAAAGCAGAACATTTAGGAATACATAATACTATCAAGCAGAGTCAGCGTAGCTTCCTGAAGGGAAAGTTATGCCTAACCAATTTAACCAAAATTCTTTAAGGCAGTAACAAGCAGGATAAATAAAGGGGAACCAACAGATACAGTATATTTGGATTTCCAAAAGGCGTTTGATAAGGTATAACTGTAAGGCTACTTACAAAATAAAAGCCCAAGGTATTATGGGTAGTATATTAGCATGGATGGAAGACTAGCTAACTAATACAAGGCAGAAAGTTGGGATAAGACAGGAGTGGGGGGCAATTTCAGAATTGTTGGAGTGCCGCAGGGATCAATGAAACCACAATTATTTATAACATATTAATGACTCGGATCAAGAAAGTGAAATATATTATAGCGAAGTTTGTAGCTGACACAAAAATAGGCGAGAAGGAGAGTGGTGAGGATGACAATATCTACAGAGGGATGTTGAAAGATTAAATAAGTGGGCAAAATCTTGGCAGATGGAGTGTAATTTGGGGAAGTGTGAGATTATATGCTTTGGCAGGAAGAATACAGAAGCTAAATATTACTTAAATGGAGAAAGATTGCAGAAAGCTGCAACATGGAGAGATTTGGGAATCCTTGTGCATAAATCACAAAAAGATAGCATACAAGTTTAGCAGGTGATGGGGAAAGCTTTTATTTCAAAGGGAATGGGATATGAAAATAGGGAAATCATGCTAAAAATATACAAAGCACTACTTAGCTTTCACCTTGAATACTGTGAACAGTTTTAGCCCCCTTAACGAAGGAAACATGTACTAGGATTGGAGGCAGTCCAGAGAAGGTTCACTAGCTGATCCTGGGTATAGAGGAATTTTTTGGGAGGGGAGTTTGAATAGGTTGAGCCTGCATTCATTGGAGTTTAGAAGAATGACAGGAGACTTTATTGAAACGTGAAAGATTCTGAGGGGTCTTGACAGGGTTGATGAAGAGAGGTTGTTTCACCTTGTGGAAGAGTCTCAAAGAAGAATATCCTTCGTAAAGTGTAGTACCCAGACATAATCTCAAAATGAAGAGTTGTTCGTTTAAGATAGAGATGAGGAAGAATTTCTTCTCTCAGAAGGTAGTGAATCTGTAAAATTCTTTATGGCGAGGGCTGTCGAGGCTGGGTCATTAACTATGTTCGAGACTGAGGTAGACAGTGTTTAAACAGTACACGAAAAGGCAGGAAAGTGGATTTGAGGATTATCAAATGATTATCAAATCAGCCATAATTTCTTTGAATGGCACAGCAGAATTACTACCTCTGTTACTACATCTCATGGTCTCTTGGTTTTATCATGAGTGCCAGCGGTCTCCTTTGAAGTTCCCCAAGTAGCCACTGGTTGTGTCACACCTTCTTCTGTCATAGCACTCATTATTTTATTATCAGAATCTAACTTAACATTTTCATACTTTAACCAGACTGTGCAAGGATTACAGTGAATGCTGTACACATTAATACCAACAGACCACCCTTCATTTGAAAGATGGTGTCCTCAGTTGTGAATCATAAATGAAAGCAGCAGGTTCCTTCAACATGCTGGACCTTCAGCTTATATCAGGCTTCCCTTCTTTAGCCATTAACATTACCCTTTGCTCACCTATGCTCTAAGACCCACCCTGTGTCTGCTCCTCAAGACCATTGATAATGTTCTCTACCATTTGTATCTTTGGATCACTTATTGTAGGTATCCAATTTATGCAGGGTTGACAGCAACCATTATAATGAATTTATAGAGCTTAATCAGAGAATAAGAGTAGATATAGAACACATTAGTCATGCAGCAAAATCATACGATCATTAAGTAACAAGTACCAATCGAACAGGATAGCTGCATATTCTTTCTTGTTGCCTCGTTTCTTATTAAAGTGTCCTCAAACTACCTCAGGGAATATGGATCCACCCTTGGGAGTTTCTCTCCACTACCTATTTCAACTGGAGCCCTTCCAAACTTAATCTTTCCAGAACCTTTTTCAGGGGTGGATGATAATGATTCCACTTTAACACAAGATGTCCATTATTATACTGAATTCTTTGCCCAACCAAGAAGCCCATCCTTTTCATGTCTTTACAGAATGCTAAGGATTCCGTGAACACTACGGAAAATAATTTTTAAAAACTAAAGGAATGCTGGCCTTTTGAGCTAGAGGCCTAGAGTACACTTAGGGGGTAAAAGTATGTTGTGCCCTATCAAATCTCTGGTAAGACCATATCTAAAATCTTGTGAGCAGTTCTAGGTACCACGCATTAGGGAGGATACACTGTCATAGAGTCACAGAGTTATACAGCTTGGAAACAGACCCTTTGGTTCAAGTAGTCCGTGCTGACCCTTGGAAGAGAGTGCGATGTGGAATTCCTAGAATGATACCTGGATTCCCAGAGTTATATTCTCAGAGATTACACAAACTATGGCTGTATTGTCTGGAATTTAAAGGATAAAGGGGTCAATTGATTGAAGTTTTTATGACTGAACAGGGTAAATAAGGGAGTCCAGAACTAGGTGGCACAGTTTGAAAATTAGAGTCTGATCTTTCAGGAGTGAAATTAATAAACACCTTAGTAAATACCCCAACACAGAAATGGTAGAAGAAGTTTGGAACTCTCTTCCACAAACAACAAATGATGCTTGATCAGTTGTAAGTTTTATATCTGAGATTGATAGATTTTTATCATCCAAAGGTATTAAGGAAAATGGGGCAAAGGCAGATATGTGGAATTAGGTCATAGATCAGTCATGATCTAATTGAATGGTAGAACAAGCTCAGGGCTGAATGGCTTATTTCTGTTTCTATATTGAGTCTTCTGAATGTTGCTGATCTTGTATATATTTCCTCATAACTGCAACTTTGTTTCGAATTTCATGTTAAAAATAATTGTTTACCTTTCACTTAAGGCTTCACAGCTTCACTTCAATCCAAGTATGAGGGACGCACAACACTTCATTCCTGCGATACCTTCCTGCACCTAATGTACTTTTACTTAATACACTGTTTCCCAACTCCGAACAGGCTAATTTGGCACTCCTACATGCAATTTAAGAGTTTGTAGGACAGGCTTGGCATTTTAGTTTTCTACTATATACTCTAAACAACTTTGTTTCACTGCTAGATTTGTGAAAACTGCATTCTTTTTCGCATATTAAGTGCCTCTTGCAAACTAATTTGTGCCGCACAAGCAGGATGGTTGATCGTTGCATATGGCATTGAACAAACACCCATAAATACTTTCAGAATTTGTATTTCTGTACATTTGTTCTAAAAATGCAAGGGAATTACAAGAAAAACGTATTTTAGTTAAAAATGAAGAATTTCTAGGCCCTTATGTCATTAGGTCTTTGAACTTCAAATATTTCTAGTATATGCTAATGTTGAATTTTAATACTATTTATTGTTTATTGTTACTGGTATTTATGAATTTTATTGATGAAAAATGCTAATGTAAATATTAACATTAGTCTTCTGTGGTAACTAGATTTTGTGTGTGCTGGAATGTCTGATCTGGTTGAGCAACAGATAATGTAACAAGGATTGTGATACCCATTATATATGTCTCCTATATATAGCATTATGTAGCAAAGCAGTAAACTGCATTCCTCCTTTTCACAACTGAGGAAAAATGGCAAAAGCAAAAGTCTGTAGTGTGCGAAAGAAATGTGTAAATTCCTGAGTGTTTTTGTTTTAGTATACATATTAAATTTAGTCGTTAACAATGAACCTTTTTCAACTGCTATGTGCATGCCCTCAATATTTCTTACTCTGATCTCTGATGCTATATTGCAGGTATTAGCTCTAGTTTTTGTTAGAAAATTGATGGACCTTTGCTTTCTGAAGCGTGAGCTAAGCTGGCTTGATGATCTAATGCCTGAAAGTAAGAAGAAAAAACTGGACGATGCCAAAAAAGTCAAGGAGGATGGGGTAAGATTTGATTATCATAATGGACTACAATAGGGAATGAATATGCAGAACTAGATGGCTATTAAAGGGGAGAGAAAGTCAGTATTTCAAATCCTTCAATGTGCTCCCCATCTCTGAAGAAACTAATACATATACACATGAGAAATTTATTTTGATGTTTTAGTAAAAGCTTTTAACTACAGATTTTGCTTGGGGGCAAATGTTTTCAAGCCATGAAGAACATTTCCAGCACCTAATGTACTTTTACTTAATACACTGTTTCCCAACTCCAAACAGGCTAATTTGGCACTCCTACATGCAATTTAAGAGTTTGTAGGACAGTCTTGGCATTTTAGTTTTCTACTATATATTCTAAACAACTTTGTTTCACTGCTAGATTTGTGAAAACTGCATTCTTTTTCGCATATTAAGTGCCTCTTGCAAACTAATTTGTGCCGCACAAGCAGGATGGTTACTGGTATGTAAATTGCATAAGTACTCCCCTAGACTGCCTTTCCCTTCACTTAGTTGGCTGTTGATGTTCAATTAGTGTAAAAAAAAGTTTCATTTTTTGATAACCTTTTCAACTGTACAGTTACATTGCAAAAAATATGCATTTGCATAATAATATGCTAAATTAATAATTTACCAAATCTGTTACAGGTAACTTGATACAAATCATCATTATGCTATTTTTGTCAAATTTATTCTTATTTCCTGGATTAAACTCCATTGTTTTTTCCATCTAATGGGTAGCCTTGGGCGGAATCTTAGCCCACATCACTCAGATGTTTGCATGGTGAGATTTGTGGCAAAATCAAATGAGAAGTCTGGCGAGGCCTGTCTCCATATTGGGAGCATCTTGCTCCAACTTTTATGCTTCTGCCAAGCAGTGAGGCATGTTTCTCACTAGGCAGTGGCAAGTTGCTAATTAAGAGGGAATATAGCTTGTTAAATGCCTTAAAACTACAACTCGCCTCTTTAATATTCAGCTTCCTATCTTACCAAACACACCAAACAAGCTTGGTGACTTCAGCTTGCCACTGGCAACGAATTGTCTCCATGTTGCTCGGGACCAAATAGCACCTCACGGCATGATCCATGGGCACTAGCTGCACGCACCCTTCATTCATGGATCTGACATCTGCCGACCCCTCACGGCCATTATGGCACTTCTCCAATCCACTTCCAAGCTACTTAAGGAACATAGACTTGCATTGTAGGGTGCACCAGCAACTGGCATTAAAAGGCTGCTGAAAGGATACTTTATGGTCTCCAACAGAAACACAGCTCATGGATTGAGCTCGACTGCTTGCATGTTCTCTTAGCACTCACTCAGTGCCTACCTGCTTCTTGCGCCATCCATGCCTTGCCTTGCTGTGCCAATTAGTGCAGTCACACAACCAGACAGCATGCCTTGCTGGTCAGCAGTCTTCAGTTGAGGGGACAGACATCTTGCTACTCAATTTCATAGCTGAAACATGTGCCAGCAGCTTATATGGCAAACACACTGCATGTGTAGCAAGCAAGTAACCATGTCTCAAGTCTCAGGGGATGAGTCATCACCAAGTCCATGGAGACATCGATCAGTCAGGGGCTTCAGGCACAGTGAGTCAAGGACAGCCTCTGATACCAGTCCAGGGAATTGTCAGGCATCCAGTTAGGGTGCTCTCAATCAGAGGGTTCATACCTCTGCAGTGCAGGTATATGCTCGTATCAGTCTTGTGGCTCCATAGTGACCAATTCAGGGATTTAGGGCTAACATGGTCAGGGAAAAGTGCAGGCACCAGTCAGAGGTCTGAGCAATCCTTGTCTGGGGCTGTCTGGTAAGGTTGCTTAACCAGCTTAAGGTCTGGTAAGGGTAAAGGGTGGGCTACGGTCAGTTCATGGGCCCATCCATAAAAACTAAGGAAGGGGAGGAGTGGAGCTGGGGGAAGGGTGAAGTAGGATGCTGTCACAAGTGGAAGACTCGGCAACCTATTCTTGGGGGCTGCAGGCTGGGGGCAAGGGAGATGACAGTTGTGAAGGAGGCAATAGTATCTGCCAAGGAGGGGTTTTGGTATAGCTGGATGAGAATGGGGTCATGCAGGAGGGGGATTCATCCATGGTCAGGAGCACCCTGGCTTCAAGTAGGGCAAAGTGTATGACGTTTCCTGGCATGGTCACCTCATACGCCAGGGACTGGAGGAGAGTAAAGGTGGGCAGGTGCAGGTTCATGTGGATGGATTGGGCACAGACCTGGAGGGAGCGAATCCGATGGGCTAAGGAGGAGATCTGGATGTTCGGGGGGGCTCACAGATGTGTAGAGGCGGAGGCTGGAAGCTGCTGGTGCTCACTGTCACCTTCCACCATGTTGGAATTCAAATGTATGCAGTGGGGAAGAAAATGGCTGTGACCACACCCAGAATGGGTGCAGTAAGTGTCTCAAGCTGTGAGGGAGTGGGCTGCAAGACTACCAATGATGGGGCTTTTAAAGGGCAAAAACAGTACACTGAACTATGTACTATCCAGAACACAGACCTATGGGGTCATTAATCTTTGGTGATCCTAATGCATTGGCTTCCTGTTTGCTGTGCAGCTCCATGCCCAAAACATCACTGACTAATTCGTTCACACCAGAATTTTTGGATACAGAGGCGAGGGAAAGAGTTGAGATGTTTTAGGATGAGGGGCAATGGTACCAGGAGGACCGATTGCCCTGTATTCACCCAGGTCATTTTGTTTTCAGGATGCTCAACACAGACATGATCCATGGCCAATCTTGTGTGGCCATGAAGTTATGCATCATGTTGACACTGTTACATTTAAGACTTCACAGGGGATTCAAGTAAGGATGGTGGAGGCAGTGAATGTTTCTAGATGTGGTGCCAATCAAGAGTGCTGTTTTGTCCTGGATGGTATCATGGTTTTAAAATGTTGTTGAAGCTGCATCCACCTAGGCAATTGGGAAGTATTCCATCACACTCCTGACTTGTACCTTTTCAATGGTGGACAGGCCTTGGGGAGTCAGGAGGGGAGTTACTTGCTGCAGGATTCCTAGCCTCTGTCCTGCTCTTGTAGCCATAGTATATATATATGGCTAGTCCATTCAGTTTCTGGTCAATGATACTCGTATTTATATGTGTTCAGATAATCAATACCCACCGCCTGTTTCTCTTTTCCTTAAACAAGTATGTTAACAAACTTAACAATTTGATTGCTCCAATATTAAAAGATATTAACTCTTTCAATTAAACTTTTGATAACAGTCTTTCCAAAACCATTCAAAGAAATAAAAGTGTGCTTTTTGCTCCATGTCGCACAATATAATACAACTGACCGTTAATAGATCCCATATTACCGATCTTTAACATTTTCTTCACGTACAGAAATAAAGACAAAATTTGTTGTCCAAATTCTTATAAAGTAGGTTTCCATGTTCTCATAATACAAGATATCCTTCTTCAAAGACATTTAACTTCTCACGGCAGTAATTTCTGTTTGTAAAACAGCCTAACAGTTACTGACTTTCATCAACCCATTTTATTTTAGAAATCTCTTTTCTTACTTATATTTTCTTCACACTAGCAAGGTTAATCGATCCTTAACATTTTTTCTGCAACTAATCTTTTTAACATGTCAGCTTCCCAGTCCAATGGGCAAAAGTTTTTCTTCTATCCCACCAAAAATATAATGAATCCTGTGGTAGTAGACTATCTATCTGGAAGGTTGTATGTGAAGCATAACTAAAAATGACTTACTTCATATCTTCTGGATCACCTAAGGCTGGAAACTTTATTAATTTCTTTATTATTTTATTTGTTCTCGGAATCTCAACTATAGCATGTTTTAACTTGGTACTCATTCCCAAACTGGTACTTGTCTGAATATGAAGCCAGTTTAACTGACCAATAAGATATTTTAATTGGTCTGTTTTGTTTCTACCTTGGATGCAGGATTCTCTTTTTGAGAGGATCTGGCTAAGGCTATTTATTGGGTTGCAATTGGCAAATTTCAAATAAGATTGTTGATCCAAACCAAGAACATGCCTGACTTACTCTGCTTGATATTGCTATAGATCGCATTTTTTTTGGACTGTGGCCTGAAAACAATGTACACTCCTTTAAAAAAGAAAAAGTACAAAAAGTTATTTGCAGCTTGAGAAAGCGTGTGGGTTTAACTGATGCATATGCACCAAAGTTACTTTTTGGGAACATTGTGCTCAGACAAAGCAGTGCCACTGCATAAGGACAACTCTGCCTAGCGACAGTCTTATGATTGGCTTTCCAATTGGCACCAATTGTTACAGTTTCAGGAGAGCTCAGCTTAGTTTCAACCTTCTGATTGGACTGACTTAACCTAGATCCTGTGATGAAGAATGAAAATAAAAGACAACAAGTTCCAGAGGCTTCCAGGATCAACACTCCTCTCTCTTTCTGTTCCCTTACTCTGAAAAATTGCCTTCTCCAACTCTTCATTAAAAGAGCAAGAATAAACTACATTCAGAGTTGCTGAAAAAGATCATTCTAAAACCCAAAGACATTAAGAAAGACCCCAGGTCTGACCAAGCAATCAATGAACGAAAGACTGATCATTGCTGTGCAAATAACAAGGCATTATTGAAGAAAGGAGAAGGATTATGCAACCAACTCATCGGTTTCTATGATTTTGGACTGGTGATAAAGATCTGTGTTTCTCTGACATTTTCCCCCTCCTGTAATAATATTTGTGTTTGCTTTTCTTTGTGCATCTGTTTGTGGAAATTTTAAAGGGGCAAAGTTTGAGTTACATAAATTAGAAATCCTATTCTTGTTAAAGTTAAAAGTGTTACAATAAATAAGTTCTCTTTTACTTTCATTTGAAGGAAGCAGGTATGGTTTGCTTTTATCCTGAGTAGCAGTATGTCCAAGGTCAGTTGGGATTTGTGATAGCATCATTAAATCTTAACATTTGTCACAGCTCTGGGAGTAATGGTACTGCTTTTGCCAACACACTACCTCAGGTGGTCCATGACAATATTTAGTCCTATATTTTTAAAGTTCCCTGAAGACTGACTACTAATCTTAAACTCCTTTTTTTATTTTATCTATAACACATTGGTCAAATTCTGCTGAACCTCCCCAAAATTCTTTGTAGAGTGAACCAGGTTACCTTAACGTTAGTCCAGACCAGAAATATTGGAATAAAATCCTAAAGAGTTACTTAAAGCTGAGCACATTTAAGCAGGTGTATGATAGCTACAGGAAGAAGCTATTTGCAGTTCAAGTCTAAAAGTTGAAGTGACACGTGACTTAGACCTACCGAGGTGTTCGATGCGGAGACATTGGTGTGAGTATTGTACAAGTGGTGTTTTGGGTAGTAAACAAATGCTGTTTGTTTCTTTTCCATTTATAAAGGAGTATTTGGAGATTAATGAGATTATACTTTACATATGTTTAAACATCTTTGAAATTGTATTATAAGTTGATAGTTTGGATTATTTTGTTTTTATTTCTTCATATCTTCACTTCCATTTTATTGATAGCAAAATCTGCAGCATGTATTCTTATGTTTCAGTGACAGACCATTTTGTTAAACCCAAAACAAATCAAAATATCATCTATTGAGCCAGGTTCTTGTGTGAAATCTGACCTGCCTAGTGATAACATCATCATATGCTGAGTCATGAGGGTACAGATTGTGGCTCAATACGATTCTGCTGCTGCTGATGGTCCACAGTCCTTCACAGATTCCAAGTTCTGAGTTGCTAGATTTGTTTGAAGTCTGTCCCAATGAATATGATGATATGCCACACAACATGATGAAGGGTATCCTCAATGTGACAACGGGACTTCATCTCCACAAGAACTGTGCAGTGGCCACACCTACTGATACTATCATGAACAAATACATCTGTGACAGATAGATTAGTGACATTGAATTCAAGTAGATTTTTCCCTCTGGTTGGACCCCTCATTACATGCCACAGACTTAGACTAGCAACTATATCCTTTAAGACTCACCTAGCTCAATCAGTAACAGTGCTACCGAGCTATTCTTGGTGATGGACATTGAAATACCTCACCCGGAGTACATTCTGTGCCCTTGGGACCTTCTGTGCTTCTGGACTAATTCTTGTTCTCAACCAAGTCCAAATGGCAGCAGAGATAGGATGCTTCAGCCAGAACTCATCCACTCCATCTGTTTCTTTCCTTTCTTGTGTCTTTTTTTTTCTCTTCTCTTCTTTCTTGTTTCTTCTCTGCCTCGAACTCCCTGCCTCAGCATGGGCTCGGACCCTCAGCCTGGGACACCTGGCCTCAAACTCTTGGACTCAGACTCCCGACCTGGTGTTCCCGGTGTCCTGACCTCCCAGCCCAGCGTAGCGATCTATCAGTGGCCCAGCATGGAGGTCTTTCGGCAGTATGTGGCAGTCTCTTGGCTGGCATGGTGGTCCTTCAGTGGCCCATGGCAGTCTTTCAGCCACCGTGGACTTCCAGTCGCAAGGTGATTCCAGAATGGTCCCCTGGCCTCAAGAACCTCGAGGTGAAGCCCGGCACAGACTGGAAGCTAGGTACCAGCGTGGATTGGGTTGGAAGGACTGTTGTTCTGAACTTCTTATTTCTCTTTTTTCTAATTTTTTTCCCCTAAGAACTTGGACTGAAGAATCTGTACCTAAGTACCTTTGTACCTAAGATGGCACCATAAGTGGCGACTTGTAAATTTTTCACTGTACTCATCTGAGCATGTGTGACAATAAAGCTAATTCAATTCAATTGTTACTCAAGTATGTGCTTCTTCTGCTGACAACTTATCATCCTTCACTGCTTAATATGAGTTATCTTCATAGGCTAGTATTACAAAGGTTGGTGACAACATATCTACCCAAAGAAGATCCTAGCAGAACCAGGTGCCTGCTACTCACATCTCTTATCTAGTGTGACCTGCTTCGAGACTGAAGAAATTATCAGCAGTGCAAGAATCCAAAGCCATGCAAAGCTAAGAGAGTAAAAAAATTCAACTGAAAAAGTGAGTGCTGCTGAAGAAATTATCAGCAGTGCAAGAATCCAAAGCCATGCAAAACTAAGAGAGTAAAAAGATTCAACTGAAAAAGTGAGTGCTGCTTTAAAGTGTACAACAGCTTTCTAGAAAGGAGCACAGATCCAGTCAGCTCCTGCAGCAGTAGCCCATCACAGTTGGCAAAACCTCCTGTACAAGTTTAAGTCAGCTAGAATTAGGAATAAAATATGTGTTTCAAAGCTTATGAAGACCAGGAGGAGGCTTACTAAAGCTGAACAGGAAAATCCGAATCACAACCCAAGAAAAATGCGCACC